AAGAATGTTTGCTAGGCTCTGTGTATTAATCATACACCTATATAATCACCCAAATATCAAATCATTAATGAGAATATCTGAATCAATGACTATGACTATACAAAGTGGGAGAAATGTGAGAATGAAGGCAAGCTAACAGTTCTGAGGTATATGCAACTCATGCTCAAGTCACAAAGTTTCCTACACGTCTGTTTTATGTAACTATGAAGATCACAGACCAGCTAGCTACATGCCAAGGGTCTCTTCACCACATCAATCTGTTTCTTCGAATTATTCCCCATGTTCACAGTCTACAGCATTTATATGTTTAATGTTGAGATGGACTTGTTCTGAGGCCTTTCTTGGTCATCAGAGTTTTTTTTTTAATGTGGGCAAGCCTATATGTAATTTGCTTTGTGAACTTCCTTATTATTAGAAGCTAATCTAATATACTCAAATATCATCCTATTATTTCCTGTTGACCCTTAATGATTGAATTACTAATATTTATTCTATCAGTTTTTCTCAGATTAAGACAATAATTAGTGTTCTTTAAAAAATTGGACGAGAGGTCTAGAGAGGTGGCTTGGTGGTTAGGAGTTAGGAGATTCAATACTGTATCCAGCACCTATATTAGGAGGCTCAAAGTACCTGTAAATCAAGCTCCGAATCCTCTTTTACCCTTTGTAGGTACCTGCACTCAAGGGCCCATACATGTTGTAGTTACAAGTGTAATTAAATATATAGAATGAATCTTTAAAAAATTATTTGGAAGATGAAACAACAGCAAACCTGTTAAACTCAAAAGAAAGGATTAAGTTTGATGATAAAGCTTCTTCTAAGCATGAGTAGGCCCTGGCTTCAATCCCTTGCACCAAGTAAGAATAATGAATAAATAGATAAAATGCATTATGAAAAAGACTTCTATCTTGAGTAGCTTTGATTATAAAGGACAAGATAACCTAGAAGCAAATGATGGTGAGAGACAAAGCAGTGCAGACACTGTTGTGGGATCAGTGGACAGCTTAGTTGTTACTTGTTTTGTGTGTTGTGACCTTAGGTTTTCATGTGTATTATTCATGCCTTCCCTCAAGGCAGGGACCAAATGACCTGTGGAAAGTAAAATACTTGTGTTGACTTATTACTGATAAATGGCCCCATGTATTCATTTTATTCAACACTGTGAGTCAGGTAATGTTAAACCTATTTCTGAGATGAAAGTGCTGAGATGCAGGAATGGAAAATATTGCTAGAAGACCACAGTACTGCAAATCAGTCCAGGTAAAGCATGAACACAGAACTGGCTAGAGAGCACAGTGTTTCTCTAAGCAATAAACTTGCCCCATGTGTTTGAGTGGTTCATGATGCTTTTGCACACTTGAGATTTACTGTATTTATTTAAAAATATATTTAATACAAAGTTGCTTCTAATTTGATCATGAAAATGAAATGAGTGAAAAGCTTGTGACATCATATGAGAAAGGTGGATCAAGGTGTGTGGTCGAGTTTTAACCTTTGCATTTAAATAAAGTAGATACAAGGGAAAAATGGGCAGTTTTCGACAGCAGTATTCAGACTCCTTTCCTGTTACTTTCTTAGTCAGTGTTCTATGCTGTGAAGAAAGACCATGATCACAGTAACTCTTACAAAATGAATCATTTTTCAAGGGCTTATTTACTGGCTCAGAGGTTTAATCCATTAGCTTCATGGCTTGGAACATTGTGGAAGGTAGTCAGACATCGTAGCTGAGAGTTCTACATCCAAATCCACAGGCAATTGAAAAAGGAGTGTATCATTGGTCCTGGATTGATCTTTTGAATCTAAATGCCCACCAGCCATGCCACACTTCTACCAACAAGGCCACATCTACACCAACAAGGCCATACCTTCCTATCCCCTCAAGTGGTGCCAGTCCCTGAGAATCAAGCTTTCAAATATATGAGCCAATGGGGACCATCCTTATTTATACTACATTTCACATCCATGAACCCATAGGTTTGAGTCATATAATTATACCAAAATGTATTCACTCTAACTTCACAAGTTCCCATAGTCCATAATAGTCTAAACACTGTTTAAAAGTCCAAAGTCTCTTAATTGTATCCCCCTGTAAAATAAAAATTAAAAACAGATCAAAACTTCCAACACACAATGGCACAGGATATACATTAGCATTCCAAAAGAGAGGAAAGAGAATATAATGAAGACAGATTGAACCAAAACAAGAAAAAAAAAAGACTGCACTTACTACATCTTGATGTCTAAAATCCAAGAGCTCTTCAGATTTACCACTTATTCCAGCTTTGTTGACTGAATCACTGTTCTCTCTCTTGAGCTTGTTTCACACTTGGTCTGCAAACATTTTTGGCAGGTATCCCATGGCTCTTGCATTTCCAGCATATTGAGGTTTTCCACAAAAATCCAAGCTTCACCTTCACAGCTTCATTCAGTGGTCCCTTTGAGTCTCCATGAGGGGTCACTTCTGATACATGCTTGGCCTCAGCATCTTTCCTTAGCTGCAGAGGGAGATTCCATAATCCCTTTTCTTGTTTTCTTGACCTTAAAACCAGAACCATGTAGCCAAAGTTTCTAAGTTCTACTGCTTGCTGGGATTGGAACTTGGTCCCCTTGTTCAAATGTATTTCTACCAGTTTTCTATTGTTGATGGTCTACTTCACTGCTTAAACTTTTAATTAATTGCTTTCCACAGTTTGAAAGCTTAGGTACATTAGGTCTTGCCTACTGGTTTCCACTCCATTTAATCTATTTAGCATTAGACTTTTCTTTGAATTTTTTACCTTCTTGATTACAAAACAACTTCCTTACAATCCATGGTGCTCCTTTTTTCTTCAACCTACATTTGTGCATTCCTATCTCAGCTTGTTCCTTTTCATTATAAATCTGAATAAGATTGATTATTGCAAACCATATAACAGAGTCAATAGTAGGGTCTCTTGAAATCTCTGCCAATGCCAGTATTCTTAAACTCTACAGTTTAGCTTATTCCAAATTTTCAGGACAGGAGAAAAAAAGCAGCCATATTCTTTGCCAAAATATCACAAGAACAACTATTAGGTCTCTTCCTAATATTCTTCTACTCTAAAACTTTCTAAGCCAGCCCATCATAATCTACATTGCTCTAAGACCTTTTAATTTTCTACTGCTTTGTCTCATTAAGCTATGCTTAAAACATTCAAATGTTTCTCTAGTCCAAATCCCCAAGTCTATATTATGTCCACAAGCAGGATGCTTAGGCCTGTTACAGTAATATCCTGGTCCCTGGTACCTACTTCTGACTTAATCACTGTTCTATTGTTATGAAAGATACCTTGGCCTAGGCCGATCTTATAAAAAACAAAACAAAACAACAACAAAAAACATTAGCATGTAAACCGACATGGTAGCTGAGAGTTCTACATCCAGATGCACAGACAGCAGGAAGAGACAGACATTGGACCTGGCTTTAACTTTTAATAGCTCAAATAGCACCTTCAGTGCCACACTTTCTAAATCATGGTCACATGTATTCCTAGAAAGCCATACTTCCTGATTTCTCTCAAGTAGTCTGACTCCTTGAGGACCAGACATTCAAATATATGAGCCATTCTTATTTAAACTCCCACATTCTTAGCCTAGCTCCTTAGATTATGAGTTTATTTTCTCTGTTGATGACTTTAATAATAATGCATGGTCACATAGCATCTATTTATTTGTTTCTGCTTCTTAATATATTGGTAGGATTTATCCAAAATTTTAGAGAAACTATAGTTTATTAAATCTCATTTTTGAATGAGTTTCTTTGTGCGGTACTATAATTTATTTCTGCAATCTACTCTATTTAACATAATATTTTATCAATTATCTGGTAAGTTTATATAATATATTTTGATCATATTTATCATCCACTGCTCATGCTCCTCTCAGATCCATCTTCACTTCCCCACTCCAACACCGTATCCTTTTAAAAAATAACCTCCTGATGCCAATGTGTCCTGTCCCCATACCCATAAGTGTGGGATCATCCACTGCGATGTGGTACAAAATCTATTCTTAATTTGAATTTGATTTTGATCATGATGAATAATGTTTCTATAAATATCTTTATGTTTTTGGAGAACACATGCATGAGCTTCTATGACGTTTAAATTATGGGTAAACTTATTTCTTATAGAAAATGCTGATTTTCAGTGATAACTCCAAGAATTTCTACTAAGTACCCAACAGAATTTTCATTCTTTTCAGCAGTGTTTGTGAGGTGTATTGTTTCTCCACATTCTCAAAGTTTACATTGTTTGCCTTTCGTTGTAAATATCTAGTGCATATGTAGTCCTCAGTTTAAGCTGCATTTTCCTGATGATGTATTTTCTTAAGTAAGTACATGAACAATTCAGACAGGTGTGGAATAATGATTACTTTATGATACATGTATATGATACGTGTGCTACATTAGTAAAATAATACAGGCTTGATCATATACATATGTGTCATATACACACAAATATGTCTGTTAAGTATATATATACGTATGTATATATTACGAATTTATAATTTTTAATTTTTATAATAAATAAATATGTATTAGGTAATATGTGCCAGAAACCAATTTGGAAACTAAATATTCAACGTTGAACAACATATGCAATTCTTTTTCTTCTCATTGACTTGGTCTCTGTCTCTGTGTCCCTTTGTCTGTCTGTCTCTGCCTTTCTCTCTCCTACATCTGAGGATCCAAAGCAGGACCCTGAATGTACCAGCAAGCATTCTATCACTGATAATGTACATAGAATCTCCAGACCTTTTCCTTTTTATTGAGACATAGTCTCAACTATGTATCATAGGTTGGTCTTGAATGCACAATCCTCCTTCCTTTGTCAGGAATATGTTGCCACACATGCCTTATTTTTTATTGAGCAGAAGAGGCAATGAAAATGGTAATCATAAGATAGGGAGATGAGAGCTGTTTGAATAGTAAGCAGAAGGATGGAAGAATATATCTTTTAACAATGAATCTCAAATTTCAGAGTCTTCACTGAGGATAAAGCATAACAATCATGAGACAGCTGTCCTAGGGAGAAATGTGACTATCTTCTGCAACTTGACAAGTCTGGCGAATGTTGAGCAAGTCACCTGGCAGAAAGTTCAAGGTCCATTGCTTCACAATATCGGCACTTACAGCCATAAATATGGAGAAAATATTATCCCAACATATGTAAACAGGCTGCACTGCAAGATCCTGGAACCCAATGTCTCCTTCATAATCATCCAAGAAGTGACGTTTGAAGATGAAGCCTGCTACAAGTGTCTGTTTAACACCTTTGCATATGGCAGCCATGGAGGACAAACCTGCCTTAACGTCCTAAGTATATAACCTTTTCTCTAGGGTTCTATAATGGGGATAGACATCATGTAGTACAGTGTTTAAGGACATTGTCCAGAGAAAGCTGCAGTAAGAAAAATTGTTGATGAGTCCAAGTTACTTAGACAAGAGAATATGATGGAGGCCAGTGGAGTTTGTGTATTCTGGCAGGAGCTATTTCCTCATGTCTCTTCTTTACATTATACCTCATAGGCTTCCATTAGGTGGAGAAAACCCAGGAAGAGCATCAGAATTTTGTTACAAAGGCAAGGAGAAGATATGAGAAAAAAAGAGAGAGTAGGGAGTAACAAGGAAAGGTGAAGACTAAAGGAAACAGGGTTCCCAGTCTTCAAATAAGAAGAGTGAGACCATCAGAGTTCCTTATCATGCATATAAGTGTGAAATACTGGGAGCATATAATGTAATTTATAGGTGTATAGGAGTTGAGACAACAGTCAATGAACAGAGCAAAAGGTTTTGGAAGTTTTATGGCATGTGAGGGGATGTATACAAGAGGGTTATGTTTTAGCAATCACATGTCATAAAAAATTGGGAAAACACCATCCTTTAACAGCAGATAATTTGGTAAGGACATTCCTTTGTATTAATATTGCTTCCCTCCCTTTTCCTCAGCTGTACCTGAATTAGCAACCGAAATCCATCCTGTTCCTGGTTCTGAAGATCTCCTTAGCCTTCACTGTTCAGCGGTGGGAAAGCCTGCTCCTGGAATCTCCATTTACCTTTCACAAGAACTAGTGTCCCTGAAGGAAGAACACTTTACTGAGAACCCAAATAGCACAGTGACCGTCACTAAACTATACGACATTTCTTTGAAAACTATTAGGTCCTTGGGCCTCCAACACCTGGTTGTGTCCATGACTCACCCCCTAAGATATGAAGAGAAGATAGTTCATCTGCCAGTAAAGCAAGAGGGTAAGTAGAAGTGACAGCAAATCACAGGGGACAATTGAAGCCCAGCACCCACATAAAAAGCTAGATGGGGTATTTGTGCTTGTGATCACAAAACTGAGGAGGCAGGAAGGACAAACATCGGATGTTCATTGACCAGCCATCCTAGAGGAACTGGGAACTCCAGGGAGAGACACAAGTTAAGCAGCACTATTTATTGATCTCTGCCTTCAATAGCACATATGTTTACACTCATGCACAAACACACACAAACACACACCCTCTCATGTACAGACACATATGCATACATGCACAAACATGCATATATGTATACAGACATGAAAAAATTGAGATACTAGATGTTTTTTTTAAAAATCTGTTATAGGAAATATTTGTATAAATCAGCTATTTTTGAAAAAGTTAACCAATATAATATACATGTATGGTTAAGCAATCAAACAATGAAGCCAAGTGTAGTGTCCCAAGTCTTTAATCTCAGGCCTTGGGAAGCAGAGGCAGACTGATCTCTGTGAGTTAGGGGCCAGCCTGGTCTATACAGTGAGGTATAGGACAGCCAGTGCTATATAGTTGGACCCTGTCTTGAGAGAACAAACAGCAACAACAAATCAAATGACACTGACCGTCTCCACCCTAACTTTCCCGCTCGGATGGAATCTTACAGATTTCCTTCCCCTTACTTCTTATATTTTGTCATTTACGGTTTTCTGTTGAATTTTTCTCCTACACAGAGAATTCTCTTTTTTTTTCTTTAGTGGAGGTTTGTAGATTGACGTTTTGATTTTTTGTCATATACTATCTTTATGTTTTAAGCAACATTTCCATAGCACCTTAATTCATGTGAGGTAGTTTTTGTTCATTTCGCCAATTTGGTGACAGTCATTGACTTTTCCTTCTTTTTAATTTTTAAATTAGCATATAATATGCTAGATAGTATTATGATATTTTCAAACATTTCAATAATTCAAAAGTGAATTTTTGTGGTTTCCCTTCCTCCCATTTTCTCCATAGCCCAGCCACTCCATCACTCCTGCCTTAGAGCTTCCTCACTCCCTGTTAATTTTCCTCTTCCATTACTCAGTTATCCCTGTGTTGACACCTCATCCTACCTCATCATCTAATTCTATTACTCTCTCTCTCTCAGTCACCTTTCCAGAATTTGTTAGACTTTCCTCACCTTAGTCTTATTTACACACACACTCACACACACACATACACACATACTCTCACAGACACCCACTCACACACTGGCTATAATCTACATTTGTCCACATTTGAGGCAGAACATGCATACATTTTGTCATTCTGAATTTGGTTTCTATTTGCATAATGTTCATGCTTTCCAAACCCATCTTTTTCTTAAAGCAAATTTCATGATTCTGTTTCTATTTATAACTAGATAATATTACATTGTGTGCATATATACTACATTTTAATTAGTCACTCATCTGTGAATGGACATCTAAGTTATGAATGGAGCTGCAATAAGCATGGATATTCAGGTGCTTCTATGGTGGAACCTGGAGTCTTTTGGGTATTTGCACAGAAGTATATAGTTGAATCTTTTCATAATTCTCTTTATAAATTTGTGTGGTGTCTTAGGGTTTTCTTGCTGTGAAGAGATACCATAACCATGGCAATGCTTATAAAGGAAAATATTTTTATTAATTAAATTATATTTTAATTAATTATATAAATAATTTATATTTTGGCATTGCCAAAACAGATTCCTTTCTGTTCTTTTCCCCCTTTTTATCTCTCATCCATTGCAATCACAGCCCCTCCACATTCCTCACATTCCTTCTCCCAGACTTACTCTCCTAGGTTCATGACTTTTGATCTTACCTTGTGTCCCACTTAGTTTATCCAGGGTCATTAGTGGTAATATCCTCCTGTGGAACTGTGTGGGATGCATATACAACTGAAGACAAGGTTTTCCAATTTCCCTGAATATATCAGTAGGAAATAGTTAAGCATTACAGAGTGGGAAATGCTGAGCTCCTCCTCCATTCATGCTTGGCAGTTGGGGAATAAAAGTGTTCATTCTTTCAAACACATTTTCTCAATACTTATGTTCAGAAAGTCATATCTCTTTAAGTATATCTAGAAATAGTAACTTGAAAGTCTTCAGTCATCTCCTGTTTCACTGTCTTCATCCTTCACCTCCGGAGCTCATTCTTCTGTTTACATTACATGTTTTTTTCAGTCTCCTTCTTCAGGAATTCTTGTCGCTGAAGGCTATGTCAATATTCTTGCTCCTTTTCATTTAACAGTTTATATTTTAATGCTATTTTTAAGGAGTCTCCAAAATATTAGGAATAAGAATTTTCGTTATGTTTGTTTCTTGAAACTGAAGTTGGCCAGCTCCTTTTTCCTTGCCAATTGTCCCTATTCAAACAATTTGGTTATATGAATTAAATACTACACATATCTTCGGTAAATCTATTGGATGTGTTATGATGGTTAGTTTTAATTATTTATTAAAATTCAGGTGTCTAGAGGAAGTAATTTACCACTTGAGAAGATGGTTCTTCATTGCTTAGTTCTATGATAAATATTACGTGTGTGAATTCCTGATTCTGGTGAAATTCTTGTGAAGTTACTTTGCTTTTCTTTGAATTGCCTTCAGAAAAGAGTTCATATTCCAGTATCAAATTTGTCATGTTCAATCTCTTCCATCCACATAAAATGGTTATGTAGTAACTCATTGAAAAAGAATAGCAGATAAAACCACATCTGTGCAGTCAAAGGCAAAGTATAGTGTCTCACTTAAAGACACACACATCCCTAATTATATTCAAGGAAAGAGGAAACTACTTGGAATTTTCCTTTTCTTTTCATGGTAATGGGAAATTATCTTTTAGAATAAATTGGAAAGTCAATTAAAATATAGTAAGTCATAAAACATTACAAATTAAAGACCCCAAGATGGCAGTATGGTGTAATCAGAGAAACAATATGGTCTGGTTTGTGTTTTTCAGGGACCAGGAATTGTGTTTCAAATTGGAAGACGACTGCAGTTGTATTCATTATTCTGTTTTTAGTTTCATGTATCATCCTTGGGACAATTCTCTATATTAATTTAGAAAATAAAAGGTAAGCTATATGATAACTTTTCAAAAGTTACAAGAGATCTGAAAAAGTTCATCATGAAGTGGATACTGAAGAAAAACTCATTTCCATAGGTTCAGCAGTTTCTGACATCGAATAGTCATATAAGTAGACTGTTGGCAAGCTTTTCCGTTTGTGGTGAGTTGAGTTGAAGATTGGTTTTTTTTTTAAAGAAAATATTTGTTTATTTTTACTTTCTATATATAGGTGTTTGCCTGTGTGCTTCTGGTCCCTGTGTAAGCCAAAAGAGGGTGTTAAAATTCCAGTTGCAGGCAATTATAAAACCTCCACGTGAGTGCTGGGAACTTAATCAGGATCTTCTGAACAAGCAACAAATGCTTTTAACTGCTGAGCCATCTCTCCAGCCTAGTTTTCAGATTCTTTATTGATTCTGGGGCAGTGGTAGTTCATTCTTTTAATTCTTTTTATCCCCTCTCTGGGCAGGCAGAAGCAGGCAGAGACAGGCAGTTCTCTGAGTACCAGGCCAGCGTGGTCTACAGAGTGAGTTTCAGGACAGCCAGGGCTACACAGGGAAACCCTGTCTTGAAAAATGAAAATTTCTTTATTGAGAACAAACTTTCACAAAATAGAGCATAGGCCCAGGACAGTGGGTGGTGTGGGAGACATGTAGAAGCCTGAAATAGGTCTATCTGATGCCTAAAGTCAAAGCGAGATCTTACTTTTATATTTTATTTTATTTTAAGCCAACCTTTTTTATTTTACATATCAATCCCTGTTCTCTCTGTCTCCCCTCCTCCCACTTCCCCCACTTTCCCCCACCCCACTCTCCATCCATTCCTCAGAGAGAGTGAGGCCTCCCATTGGAAGTCAACAAAGTCTGTCATATCACTTGAGAAGATCTTACTTTATAGGATTAAATAGTAAAATACCCATACACTTGTCCAGCTCTCCTCATGAATGACTGTGCATGATGAAAAGATGAATGGAAATAAGATACTAGGTCGTGACAGTAGAAACATAAACATAAGTGGCAGCATGTGGTTTATTTTGCTGTCGTTAGGTATTCTTTGAATTCAACCATCTGTGGGGTTTTGTTCTGCACCATCTCAATCCAAATGTATAAACCAGAGGAGCACGTGGATCTGATCTAGAATCTAGAAGGTTCTCTCTTTGGGATGTGGAAGGAGATCTTAGAAGACAAGAATGAAGGAGCATTTTGAAGAGACAGCTACAGTAGTCAGGAGATAGACAAACTGTCTAGACTGAAGAGGTAGAAAATAGGAGGAGGGGTTAAGGTTCTACTCAGGATGGGAAGGCTTCCTAAGAGACAGTAATGGAGAACAAGTGAAGGGAAAGAATTATCTTACCCAAAGTAAGTGTTTTAGCAGTAAAGACAACTTTTACAAATATATACAAGAATGGAGGGAGAGCAAGCTTTGGAGGGAGGATTAAGAATTCTGTTTTAAATGTCGTCATTTTTAAATGCCTATTTTATACTTGAGGGAGTATGTTAATTATCTACATGTATGGATCTGGGATTTGTGCAGCAGATGATAAGTTTTGGAATACAGAGTATATGATCTCCATGGAGACAGATTGTAAACTATTGCTCTCAAAGTCTAATTGGTATGCTTCACTGACAATGTGCTGCCAGAAGGGGGAGTGTTAGGTCAGTGTTTGGTTTATTTCTCTAACAGTGTCATGGTGTCTCCAGGTCAGAGAACACACAGGAACAATCAACACAGATGCATGACCAGTTATCAACACTGGTGACCACACGGCCATCAACAGAGACTGAAAACTTAATGAGTCAACCTTGTCAGACAAAGGTATAATTTGTAGTAGGTGATTACTTTCTGTCACTGTATTCCTTAAATTTAAGAAGTAATCTTACAAATTTGGTCATGCGGTGCCTAGCAGCAATTATAATTTTGGAGAAAAATAGTTGCTTCATTTCTATTCTGAAAGCAGTGAATTCAAGTGAGGTTTTGCTTTTGTTAATGCCTTTACATTTTGACATTAAGATTAGGTTTAACTGATACATAATAATTATAGATATTTATGGAGCACCATATATATTTGATCATGTCATACCTGTCTTTCTGTCTGAATTTTTTTTTTTACTTAAATATGGATGAACCCCAAGTTTCGTCCATGTTGCTGTAAATGACAGAATTTCCTTTTATGGCCAAATACTGTTCACACGGGTGTGTGCATCACACTTCACACTCCATTCATCATTTCCACACAGGCAATTGCTTCCTCTCTCGTCTGTTATAAATAGTGTCCAGACATCTCTGCAACCTTTTCAACATTGATTTCTTTTCCCTTTGAATGTATTTCCTGAAATAGTATAGCTTTATCATCTAGCACCTTTGTTTTCAACTTTTTAAGAAGTTTTCATGCTGTTTTCCAAAATGGCCATTCTAATTTGCACTTCTCCTCCACTATGCAGGGGTTGCCTTCTCCATCTGCACACACCACTTTTCTTTGATGCTTTTAATAGGAGCTATTTTATTTCATAGCAACTTACTCTTGTGGAGTAAGCTGTTAACTTCTGGTGGCTTGATTGGCATTTCCCTGATGATTAGTGATGTTAAATATTTTTTCATGTGCCCACTAGCCATTTTGTATGTCTTTTTTGAGATACGTCTATTTAGGTTTATTGCCCATAAAACCAAGTAGTTTTTTTTTTTTTTGGAGTTCCTAAGTTCCTTGTATGTTTTCAAATATCAAATTATTTTCAGAAGTGGAGTTTGGAAATATTTTCTGCTTTTCAGAAGATAGTCCCTTTCTTGCTACTGATGACTGTTTTCCTTGTTGACCAGACGTGTTTTACTATCATGTAATTCAGTTGTTTATTTGGGTTTTGTTGCCTGAGGTTTTGGAACCTTGCCTGAAATGTCTTTAGTTCTTACTGCCTTTACTTTCCTGTATATTTTTCCTAAGATCTGTTCTAGTGGTTTTATCATCCTATATTTATAGAATTTTGTATTTATATTTTAACACCTATATTATGCATAAACATATACGTAATATGAATATATGTGATATTCATATATTGCACATATAAATGTATAATATATAAACTTATATATAATATAGATGTTCAAATCCTATATTTGAGCCTTCCTTCCAGTTGTATTTGATTTTTACAACTTGTGTGAGAGATTACTCTACTTTCAACCCCTTGCATGTGAGTTATCCAATTTCCCTAACACTATTTATTTATTGTCTTTTCCCAATATGTTTGTATGTTCTTTGCATTTTTATTGAAAATTGATTTCTGTACATGTATGGGTTTGTTGAAGTCTTTATTCTGTTCTATTTATCTATATGTCTGTTTTTTGCAAATAAATACCACGCTGTTTTGACTACCTCCAGTTTCATGGTATATGTTGAAGGCAGGAGGTCCAGTTTCTTTAAGGTTCTTTTACTAGTTATATGGAGAATGTCATAAAAGTTGTACAGACTCTTTGAATCACATTGAGTTCTGTAGACTTTTTGACTATTTGACTCCCCCAGTCTATGAAAACAGAGTATCTTTTCAGTGTGTGTATCTTCTTTGACTTCTCAGACTGATATTTTGCTGCTGCCAGTGCAGCCTGGATAGCCAAGACTGGCAGGGGGTGCCGGGATTGAGACACGGAGGCTTCTTTTCAGGTGGAAGAAGAGCAACCTTTATTTTGCCCAGCAACCTTTTATACCTCTACTCCTTCTGTGGAGACCCACCAGCCAGAAAGAACACAAACATCTTTGTCAATTACAGACCACAAAGAAGTTCCCCTGCCAGTCATGGGGAGTGAGGGCAGCTGGATCACAACAACTTCCCCTGTTTTATTTTATAATACCTTGCTTGTTGTGGGGAATAGCCCTCTAATATTCCCTGTCTTAGGTAGCATCCTGCCCTCAAAGTATTGCCCATCCATGGCTACCCAGACGCATAGACCTAAACCAAGTATTCCCAGGACTGACAGTGCCAAGGAGCCAGATCAGCGCTGCAACCATCTAGCATGCACTAACTGGGTGGTAAAATTAACAAAAGCAGTATTCCAAACCCCTCTCATATGACAGTTGAGTTCCATAACAGTAGCAGAACCATGCAACACAGTGCCATGAGTAACACAATAACATGATAAACTGTTAAAAAGTCCAAAGATAGTCCACTTGCTCCTGAACCAGAGCCACTTGTTGGTTTAAGGTCAATATGCCCAATTGAATATGTCCAATAAGATTTTGAATGTCCGCCCAAAGCATTGCTGACTCTTTCAGCCTGCTGGTTGACAGTCTCAGCCATCTGCACAGTCTGTGAGAGAGAAAGTCCGGCAGCAGTAGCTGTGGTGGCGAAGCTCTGCTCCAGCTGCCTTCTGGCCCCAGCCGCACTCACTCTGGATCCAAACTGCTGCATGGAGTGGAGCAGAACTCAGGGAAGCAGGCTCACTGCTCCTGCTCTGGAACCATTGAGGGGGCCCCACTTTAACAATCTTTTAGGGTGTTTGGGCATCATCAACCTGTCTGGCTACTTCCTGCTGAATGGGGGTGCTGCATTCTTGGGGGGTATATTTTAGGGGAGCTCAGTGATTCAAACCACATAAATTTGCAATGAATCCACAGTTTCTCATCCTCTGTGGAGACAAAAGAAGAACGTTTTTTCCAAATCATCAATTCCTTAGGCCTGTATTTTAAAGTCAAAATACCTTTCTTAGCAGTTCCCAGGTCAAATGTCTTTCTCCAGTCCAGAACACAAAAGACAACACAATCAACAGAATAACATATATCTCTACACATTCTATCTTTTGAGGCCCTCAATTCACCCTCCTGCCTCTTCTTTATTGCTTCCCTACTGGCCAATCTTCCAGAGGGCATCCCTCAGAGCATCTCTGGAGATGAAGACACACATACTCCTTTTAATCTGACTTGGCTTGTTCCCAGTCTGGAACATTTAAACTCTCTTCCGAAGAAGCCAAGGACAATGGCACTGGGCTTGGATTTTACTGCATGGACGGGCTTTGTGGGAGCCTTGTCTGTTTGAATGCTCACCTTCCTGGACCTGGGGGGAGCGGGGAGGACCTTGGACTTCCCATAGGGTAGGGAACCCTGACTGTTCTTTGGCCTGGAGAAGGAGGGGGATGAGGAGTTGGAGGAGGGGAGGGAAGGGAAGTGGGAGAAGGGGGAAACTTTTAATAATAAATAAATAAATAAATAAAATAAAATAAAAAAATAAACTCCCTCCTGTACAAAATTCTTGGCTGGCTTCCTTGTTAATTCCGTGCCTTGTTGCTTTAAGAGTTTCAGTTACTTTTTGAGGACTTTCAATTCACCCTAAATTGAAAAAACACAATACTCTATATCAAAGTCAAATTTAAGCACTATTTATCCACATTTTCAGGACTACAGAAGATACTGCAGGTAAAACCCCATCCCAAGGAGACTAACTCTACCCAACAGAAACACAGGAAATAATCTCACACCAGCAAAACCAAAAGAAGGGAAGCACACACATATGTACATGTACTCACTCATACATACATACACATTTTCTATTGCCACCATCACCAAAATAACAGAAATTAACAATAATTGGTTACAAATATCTCTCAATATCATTGGGTTCAATTTCACCAAAACAGACACAGGCTAACAGAAAGGATGTGAAAACAGGATCCATTCTTTTGCTGCATACAAGAAACACACCTCATCATCAAAGATAGACACTACCCCAGAATAAAAAGTTGGAAAAAGATTTTTAAAGCAAGTGGATACTAGAAATAAACTGGTATAGCCATTCTAATATCTAACAAAAGAGATTTACAATCAAAATTAATCAAAAGAGATGGGGAAGTACATTTCATACTCATCAAAGGAAAAATCCACCAAGATGATGTTTCAATTCAACATCTATATAATAAAGTAAGAGCACCACATTTGTAAAATGTAGACAGCCGCGTGATGCCATGCCTTACAGGTGGCGCTGATTCCTGCCTTTCACCTTTCTAATGGTGAATACTCTCAGGTGTGAACAACTCCATATATGGCTAATGCTATAGATCTGGCTTGCTTCCGTGTTTCTGGGCCTATCTGCGTTTCCCACGTGGCTTGCTGGGGTTGGCTACCCAGAGGTTATTTAAGCTGTAGGCTGGCTTTGCCCCGGGGCGAGAGGCGGCAAGAGGTTGAGAAGGAGCAAGAGGTAACAAGAGATAGTGATAAGGTGTGAAGATTCTGAATAAAACCGCAGTTAAGAAGAGTCTGGTGTTGCGTCTTCATTGCTGACAAAATGGACGCAATAATTGGTGCCGAAACCCAGGAACATCACGGGAAAAGGAACAAGTGGCGTTCAGAGACACAACCTCTCATCTGGACTCAGAATTTACTTCGGGCAGCATAGTGCACTGATAAAATTCCCAGGTAAAGTGGGAAACTGCGACAAAAGCGGGGTTAAAGTTCCATGACAAAAGTGGGGTTAATGTGACTGCGACAAGAGCAGGGTTAGTGTAAATGTGTACAGATGTATGTTATGTTGTTTGTGTTGTCTTTTGTGTACTGGACAGGAGAAAGATATTTGAACTTAGGAACTGCTAAGAAAGGCATTTTGACTTTAAAATATGGGCCAAAGGATATGATGTTTCGGAAAAGAGGTTCTGTTTTCATCTCCACAGAAAATGAGAGCCTAAGGATTTATTCGAGATTTATGTGAGTTTGAATCACCAATACCTCCTGAAATGTTGTAATAAATACCCTTAAGAATGCAGCGTCCTCGCTCAGCAGGAAGTAGCCAGACAGACTGACAACGCCCAAATTCCCTAAAAGACTGTTTAAGTGGGGACTTTTCAGTGGTTGCAGATCAGCAAGCCTACTTCCCTGAGTTCTGCTCCACTCCATGCACCAATTTGAACCTAAAACAAATGCAGCTGGGGCTAGAAGGCAGCTGGAGCAGAGCTTTGCTAGGTGGCTGTGGTAAAAGGCACATTGCCCCAGGCAAATCGGTGCCTAGCCTGGCAGATGCCACAGCAGTGCCGCAAGCTATCAAACCGGAAATAAGAGCGGTGCCACAAGCTGTCAAACCAAAAGACCTGCAGTGTGCCTGGAACTGTGAGGGGCTCTGAGGCTGGAGTGGCTCCAGCTCCACTTGGCTAAGCTGAACTGTGCTGATCTCAGGCAGGACTGATCGTAATTATCAGAATAAAAGCGCCATTAAAGTTTAAACTGGCAGTAAACAGGCAGTACCACATTACCTCTACATGGTGCAACTTAAGTTTTTAAGAACTGCTTAGCATTTTAAGAACTCACGTCCTCCTGAAAGGTTGCTGTATATACGCTTGGTTTATCTAGTGTTTCGGGATCTGCAGGGAGGTAGGTATGAAGAGCCCCTGGATATTAAGGTGATTAAGTCCTTGACTAAATCTGTGAGAATTTACAGCCTCTTTTACTGTGGCACAGGTGAAAGCCTTGAATAGATACTGCATGACGCCCAGTGATTGGAATGGCTTGCACGTGCGTGTTTAAGCCCAGGACAGTATTTAGACTGGAAAGCTTTCTTGATAGAGTTTGCTAATGAGAAAACGACCCTGTTCACTGCCTCTCCCATCAGCCCCATGAGCTGCAGCGGCTCCAGCGCGGACCCTGAGGATTTGCCGGCCTGTGCCGCCTCGGTCACAGGTCCAGCACCTCCATTGTCGGCTCCCGCCACACTCCCCACCAGCACAGCCATGGAGAGCAAGACTTGCCCCATGGGGAAGGCAGGGCGGCCCGGGGCTGAAGCCGCCATTCTGGGCACAGGCTCCATAGCCGCACAAGTCGGGGAACCGGCGGAGCGGTGTGGACCAGCCTCGTTGGCAGCGGGCAGCGTGGCTTCCCCTGAAGGGGCAATGTCTAATGGGGTCTATGCCCTGCTGAGTGTGGCCAGCAGAGAAGTGAAGCCCGTAATGTCCAGCATGCCTCTGGTAGACTTCTTGATGCAGCTGTAGGATTACACCCCTACGATCCCAGATGCACTGACTGATTATTACCTGAACCGTGCTGTAAATTTGTCTAAGCAATTGTCTAGTTATCTTTTAGGTAATTGGACTGGAGAATTTGATGTCATGATGGAACAGCTGAGGGTGATCATCATCACCATGAACTCTACCTGAGTGGATGCGAAAATGACTAAAGGACTCTCGTCCTGGATCTCCACTGCCATAAAACATCTAAAAGAGTGGGCGGGCTTGGGAATGTTAGCAGACCTCTTGGTGTTGGCCTCCCTGGCTTGCCTGTAGTGTACATGCAAGATCATTTTTTTTCAGTAGTGTGGAGCAGCCATGATTATTAAAGCCATTACAGCCATTGAAGCAGGACTGTCCCCCTACATGCTCAGGATGCAAGGCTACTCTTGCCTGTTGCATCTAAAACAAAAAGGGGGAACTGTAGAGAGCCAAGTGATGCCATGCCTTACAGGTAGCGCTGATTCCTGCCTTCCACCTTTCCAATGGTGAATGCTCTCAGGTGTGAACAACTCCATATATGGCTAACGCTATAGATCTGGCTTGATTTCGCATTTCTGGACCTATCTGCGTTTCCCACGTGGCTTGCTGGGGTTGGCTACCCAGAGGTTATTTAAGCTGTAGGCTGGCTTTGCCCTGGGGCGAGAGGCGACAAGACGTTGAGAAGGAGCAAGATGTAACGAGAGATAGTGATAGGGTGCGAAGATTCTGAATAAAACCGCAGTTAAGAGGAGTCTGGTGTTGCGTCTTCATTGCTGACAAAATAGACGCCACAGTAAAAGAAACATTACTAAAGCTTAAATCACACTTAGAACCCTACATATTAATAGTGGGAAACTTCAGCACCCTACATTCACCAATGGACAGGACATCCAGATGAAAACTAAACAGAGAAATAATGAAACTAACAGACATTATGAATCAAATGGACCTAACAGATATCAACAAGATATCCCAAGCACAAAAGAATATACCTGCTTCTCAGTATCTCAGAGAACTTTCTCCAAAAATTGATCACATATTTGTTCACAAACTAAGTCTCAACAGATACAAGAAAATTGAAATAGCTCCTGTATCCTGTCAGACTACCATGATTAAAGTTGAATTTCAGCAACAGAAACCACAGAAAGCCTACAGACTCATGGATACTGACAGCTCTCTACAGAATGACCACTGCTTCACAGAAGAAATAAAAAATTAAAGAATTTCTAGAATTCAATGAAAATGAATGCATAGATCATTCACACTTATGGGACACAATGAAAACGGTGCTAAGAGGAAAGTTCATAGCACTAAGTGATTACATAAAGAAGTTAGTGAGATCTCATACTAGAAACTTAATACTATCCCTAAAAGCTCTAGAACAAAAAGAAGCAAACACAGCCACGAGGCAGGAAATAATCAACCTCAGAGCTGAAATTAATAAAATAGGAACAAAGAGAACAGTATGAAAAATAAGGAAACAATGACTTGCTACTCTGAAAAAAAATCAGCAAGAGAGACAAACCCTTATATAAACTAACTAAAAGACCCAGAGAAAATATCCTAATTAACAAAATCAGAAATGAAAAGGAGAAAAAAACAGACAAATCCAAAGCAAATCCAGACAATTATTAAGTCATACTTCAAAAGCCTATATTCCACAAAATCAGAAAATGTAAAACAAATGGACAATTTTCTTGGTAGACACCACTTACTAAAGTTAAATCAAGATCAGATAAACAATTTAAATATACCTATAACCCACAATGTTTAGAAGCAGTCATAAAAAGGCTTCCAACAAAAAAACAGCCCAGGGCCAGAAGGATTTAGCACATAATTCTACTAGACTGTCAAAGAAGAGCTAATACAAATACTCCTAAAATTATTTCACAAAATAGAAACAGAAGGAACATTGTCAAATTAATTTTATGAGGCCAAGTCACCCTTATACCCAAACCACACAATGTCACAACAAAGAAAGATAATTACAGACCAGTGTGCTTTGTGAACATTGATGCAAAAATACTCAATAACATACTCTCAAATTGAATCTAAAAAAACATTGAAAAGATCACCCACCATGATCAAGTAAGTATGCTTCATTTTAGATTGATACAGGTACTTTAGAGTCTCTGTTATAGAAGTACATTTGTATTTTATTCTGTGGGATTCTATAGTGCCCAGTGCTAATAATGGTTTCTTTGTTCTGAGTTAGCCTGTCATCTAGGAAGCTTGAGAGGAAAGCATGACTGGTCCTGGTGCTTGGGAGTCCTCCTCCTGTTGCACAGAGATGATGAAAATGGGCAGTAGATTTGCCCCTGCTACACAGAGAAGATACCAAAGAGAAAAAAACAAACAAAGTCAATCTCAGTGACAAGACTGAGCACCTGATCAGAAGAGAGAGCCTAAACTTTAAAATGATTGAATTCCTGTTTCCATTCACTACATCATTGGGCTAAGGAAGGAATGGAAGAAAAATTTTTAATATGTGTGTAGACGTAAGTCACAAAACAATTCCACACTAGTTTGGAATTATGATTAATAAAAGGGTTATTTATTTAAGGGGAAAACTTACAGATCACTGTCCTAGACAACAACCCTCTGCATGAACAGGAACAGAGTCTTGTATCCGGAAGTGGAGCTGGAAGCAAGACAGAGAGAAAGAGGGAGAGAGAGAGAGAGAGAGAGAGAGAGAGAGAGAGAGAGAGCAGGGTTACCATTGCTTTTTAAAGCAAAAGAGACCACACCCAAATGGGCTGGTATCTTAAAGGCTATTGGCTGAAGGAGCGGAAGGAGCTCCCACAGCATATATGAATCTGTTGTTTTCTCTGATTGCTGTTTCTATGAGTGAAACATGGATTAATTGCTCAACTCCTGGGTGTTGCCTATGTTCCAGATAGCTGAGACCTAGTTACAGATGAAGATCTTGAAACCAAATTAGTTAATCTTCTCTGATAGTTATTAGTTAGTTTCTACATTAGATTCCTTGAGGTAGGAAGAACCACCCTGAATGCGGTGAAACCATTCCATGGACTGGACCCCTAACTGATTAAAGAGGGGAAAGTGAGCTGAGCAAACAACTGTTTGCCTCCTGTCTGTAGAGGCCATGTGACCAGAGACCTGTGTTTCTGCTTCCATGCATTCTTCACCATGATGTGCTGTACCCAAGAACCATGAGTTCAAATAACACCTTCCTTCCTTAAGATGCTCTTATCATGTACTGTTGCTTATTCTTTCTGCTCTTTGCTTTTTTGGGGGG